CTCTTAAACTTTATCCTGAAAATCATGTAATCGTGGGACAACATCTCGAGGCATTTTACGACAGTTTTTTTGCAATTTTACCATACACTTTACTGGTAAAGAAAGAAGCAGAAAATTCGGTTGAGATTAGCGTTGATGGACTTGCGTGCTGTAGATAAACAGTTATATTGCTTACGAAAATCGTTCTAGCTGTGGTACCGAAATTTATTTCTATCCAATTTAAACGATTGATATTCAGTCATGAAACCTAAACTTTCCAGAAGATATCGCTAGAATGTTGCTGCCATAAATTTTGCGGGCTGCAAACAATTTTCTAACAGCTCCAAAAAATAGCGACCAAGGTTTGTCGCGACACCTAGAAATCTACTGCTTTTACTAGTAAAATGTATGGTAAAATTAAAAAACAAACCTTATTAAGTTCCTCGAAATGCCATGTTGTCCCAAAATTACATGATTTTCACGGTAAATTTGAAAAAAAATTTCTCTCCGTGTATTGTACAATTTGTGTTAAAGTAATAAATTTTACTACACATGATTAAAAGTACCAACGTATTGAGTAGGACTAGTAGGAGCAGTGGCGGCTACTCATTGAGTCAAATTTGACTCATTAAATCAGTGCGACTTTATCAGTGAAGGATCCTCCCATGTAATTGCCTCGCTTGTAATTCTTTTCGCCCGCGCATGTATTATAATGAAACATTGTTTACCGCTGCTACTTCCCGATCAGCCGTCCCGAGTTATCCTCGCACTAAAAAAAATATCTTACCAACGCAGGTAGATTTCTAGGTGTCGCGACAAAAATTTATTGCAATTTTTTGTAGCTGTTAAAAAATTGTTTGCAGCCCGCAATGGCAGCAATATTCTAGCAATATCTCCTGGAAAGTTTAGGTTTCAGGACTGAATATTAATCGTTCAAATTGGATAAAAATAAATTTCGGTACCACAGCTCGAACGATTTTTGTAAGCAATATAAAACTGTTTATGTATCACAATCAAACGTTACAATGGATGGACGCCACAGAAAGACTCTTGCTAACATTCGCTAGCAATTCAGAGAGAAAATCTGTTTCTGTTATTTAAATTGATTAGATACAAAGCATATGCGATTTCGCAGTGTCGTCCATTCATTTATGTGTCCCAGTTATTTTTTCGTGCCTAGAAAACTGTCGCTGCAGTTGCAAGATCATTTTATTCCCTAGTCGAGTTACCCTCGCGCGAATGCCTGGGTCTTACTCTCCGGTCGAAATAATATCGACGCTCTCTCGGAATCGGGACAATCGATACGTCGCGTTATCGGCGATTATCAGCGTCGAAAAGAGAGCTCGTGGAAAGTTCACGTAGCATTTTATTTTCCCCCCCGTGAATAAGTAAGAATAATGTTTCCCCGAATTCCCCTGAATTAACCCGACGAACTCTTTTGCGCGGAGCGCGCTCTCTCAATCGAACGCGCGAAATCGTCTTCTTCCCCTCGTCCATTTGAATTATAGAATCGCTTACCGCGTAATCCCGAGGTATCGATGTATTCCGACGTAAACGTAACGGAGTCGCCTCTAGTCCGCCGGATGTAATATCGACAAGCTAAACAGGACTGTTACAATCAGCGTCGATGTTCACCTTGAGCCCCACGTCCCTTATTTTACGCACCCGAACCGCGCGACGGAAGGAGCCGAACGCGAAGTTGCTTCGCGGGAAGACTTTACGCAGCGAATTCCAACCGGGTTCTTCCCCTCCGCGGACACCCGCCACTTCCGGCGTGCCGCGGCGACGCGACACAGCCAGTCACAGCCGCCGGATTTGACCGGAGAGGCGGAATCTCTCCGCAAAATTTGCGGAGAGAATTTTAATTTTCATCACGCAGATTTGCAAATTCCGATAAATCAATTTGCGCGCACGTATTATTTGAAAAAAAGGAGAGATATTTAACAAATGTTATGCGTAAATATACGAATTTAATCAATTGAAATATAAATTTTGAATTTAGTAAGTTTATTATTTAAAAAAGATATGCAGTACACATTGATTTAACATATGCATTAAATCAATATAGTATAAATATATAATAAATCGGAATATAAATAGAGATTTCAAATTTATTAAATTCCACCGGAGGATTTTCTCTCGTCATCGACGGGGAAGTAAAACCCATGTTGATCTCGGACGAGCCGCATTGATAAGCACATAACGATTGTGCTTTCGAGAAAGGTTGGGGATGTGCGAATAAAGGATTTTCGATGTTGCGCCAATTCGCAAAATTGCGTTTGAATTAAATTGAATCGTTAAAATATAATTTAACGATATAATTAATAATGTAATTACTGTTGTGTGGATTGAATTTTAACACGTAGATAATGAGAGAACATTTTGAAACGGTAAGAAATAATAGTGATAATATGAATTCGTTTTAATGCCAAAACGTGTTTAAATCTTTAATATAAAACTAATAAAACACAAGTTTTAGGAGGAAATTCTCTCGGCGTCTGATTCCCGCCCGAGCCATCTAGATTCGAAGTTTTCGAATAGTTCAGACCCGAATCAGAGAAATTCAAATTCAAATAGAACCAAATCTCACCCGATTCGATTCGCGCGTCTCTAGTTGCGGCTCCGTGGCGCGACGCGATCTCCGGACCCCGTCTCGTCTCTCCCGCAATTTGCAATTCTGAAGAAGCAACGTGAGTTTTCTTGCGCTTTTGCAGGCCTAGCCCGGGCGGTGTCGGCGACAACGGCGTTCAGGGTGTTCGCGGCAAGGGTCTGCCGCACGTGATTTACTGCCGACTCTGGCGCTGGCCGGACCTGCAGTCGCACCACGAGCTGAGGGCGATCGAGCACTGCGAGTACGCCTTCACCCAGAAGCGCGACGAGGTCTGCGTGAACCCTTACCACTATCAACGAATACAAACGCCAGGTACGCGGGGCATACAGCATCCTAAGGCTCAGAGGATGCAATAATTGTATGAATTGAATGTTAAATATTTAGCGGTATTTTTACATCCATTTTTTTTTTTAAAGAGAAACTGCCACTAAAATTTCTCCCCTTAATTAAACTTCTGCCGTCTTCATGGAATAACGACCAGTTTATTTACAAAAGTTGGAGAAATAAGCTACTTGTTTGCAAGGGAAAGATGAAATTTGTATACCAACTTCCCTTCCCGCGAGGGTGAAAGGGCGATCATCGGCATCCGTTTTGCTCGAATTACGTCCTCTCTTTTTCTTCCTCTCCCCTTCTCCTCCCCCCCCCTCTCTCTATTTCCGTTCCTCTTTCTCGGGAGAGGGCTGTTAATCGGCCGTTACGACCGTAAGCATAGCGAGACTAGATCGCGTGACTATATCACGGCGCATGAAACTTTGCAGTTTTGCCGGCCATTCTCGTGCCGCGGCACAACCTAGCCAGCGACGAGAACACCGTTCTCTACAACACCTCCCTCGAGGAGCTCAGCGTCAGCGTGCCGGAGAACACGAGCTTCCACGCGACGTTGAATCACCAGCACAATCAGCAGCAGGGCATACCGCAGTCCTCGCAGCAGCAGCAGCAGCAGCAGCAGCAGCAGCAGCAGCAGCAACAGCAACAGCAGCAACCAAATAATCCGTACCAAGGAATGCAGGTCGGTAGCTGGAACGGATCACGTTTACAACTCGGCTTGCCCGAGGTCGATTTACTTCCCCATGAAGAAACTCGCCTCTTATCACTCTTATTTTTTCTTAATTATCCGTCGTTACAAAGACCCTATAAATAATAATATAAATATAGATAATTAACACATTATCTTTTATATGTAAACCGTATATGGACCATGTATTTACCGTATGATCTCTAATTAATTGGCTCCACGCGCGAACCACGGTATCTCGTGTATTCGATTTTTACACGGGGACCACGTAGGCAAATAATCGATAATATCCCATAATGAGGGAGCGCGCCGTCAAGATTCGGAGATGTGACACCGCGGATTATTTGTGTTCGTGCAGAGCATGCAGGCGACGAGTCCGGCGAGCGTCGGGAGCCTGGGAAGCGTGCAGGGCTCGCCCCATCCCGCCCCAGGATCCATGGATCCACCGGCGGATACGCCGCCGCCGGGCTACATCAGCGAGGACGGCGACAATATGGACCACAACGATAACATGTCCCTGTCACGCTTGTCGCCCAGCCCTGTAGACGCGCAGCCGGTTATGTATTGCGAGCCCGCGTTTTGGTGAGTGCCCCGGCTGATTAATGGACACCGCGCGCGGTTTATCCTCTTAAACACATAAACAGACGCAGGAAGACACGTGGCGCGTCGTCCGCGAGACAATTTCGACCGCGAAAGCCTCGAATTCACGTTTGAACGCTCGAGACAATGACGTAGTTGCACAAAGTCAAGATTCCCTCACTTCGGACGGGATTAATATCGATCAATCGGACGAGAGATCGATATTTAATGTAAGAGTATTAAAAATTCAACCGACGAATTAGTTTACATAGTACTCCACGATGCGAGGCTCCTCTTTTTTTTCTCTCTCTCTTTGTCGCCCCCCGCACTTGCCGGCTAATATCTTTGCTTCGCTTGCCAGGTGTTCAATTAGTTATTACGAGCTAAACACGAGAGTGGGCGAGACGTTTCACGCGTCGCAGCCGAGCATAACCGTGGACGGTTTCACCGACCCGAGCAATTCGGAGCGCTTCTGCCTCGGCTTGCTGTCCAATGTGAATCGCAACACGGTGGTCGAGCAGACTAGGCGACACATCGGCAAGGGTGTCAGGCTTTATTACATCGGCGGCGAGGTGTTCGCCGAGTGTCTGTCCGACTCGAGTATCTTCGTGCAGAGTCCGAACTGCAATCAGCGTTACGGCTGGCATCCGGCCACCGTTTGCAAAATACCGCCAGGTAAGCGAAGAAACTGTGCTGCCTCCTTCAACGTGTATACAATTAATGGCGTATATGTATACCTGCCTCTTTCTTGGGCACGGTATGGGTGCTCTTGTTTTATTTAGTTTGAACACGATTTCTTCTTCAAGTCATTTAATTACGAGCGAGGGGTAAACCGCTGACCAAAATCGTGTACACCAATGCCCACTAATGCCCAGTGGGCATTACTTTGTCTTATCATCTTATTGTATCTTGTTTTATCTTTTTAGATTCTTCATAATGCTCCAGCAAAGCCAAATAACACCCACTAATGCCCCACAGATGCCTAGTAATGTTCGAAGTCTGTACACCACAATGCCCTCAGCGGTTTATCCCTCGATTACGAGTTTACCCAACTTTAGAATTTGTAGGCGTGATAGCATAGGGATCGTTGAAGATCAACTTACCTATATCGCCTCTTTTATCTTAATCATTTCAAATGACTAATTCATCGGAGGTCTCTTCAAGGTCTCCCGCGAGTGTCCTTCAACGAGATCCGTCTTTGATAAGATCCTTGTACCTAATTTATTCAGTAATTATCCCAAGGCACAATTAACGTCTCTGTATAAAACGATCACTGCTTTAATAAATCGTCATTTGTTTGTCGCTCGTTCTCAGGATCTCGGTGTCAAATGTAATTTTGTTGGTGTGCAGGATGCAATCTGAAGATCTTCAACAACCAGGAATTCGCGGCGTTGCTGTCACAGTCGGTGTCGCAGGGCTTCGAGGCGGTGTACCAGCTTACGCGTATGTGCACGATCCGGATGAGCTTCGTGAAGGGCTGGGGCGCGGAATACCGCCGGCAGACGGTCACCTCGACCCCCTGCTGGATCGAACTGCATTTAAACGGGCCGCTGCAGTGGCTCGACAGGGTACTCACGCAGATGGGCTCGCCCCGCCTACCCTGTTCCTCAATGTCCTAAGTCTTTGCATCCTCCAGCCGTTCGTGAAGGAAGAACACGTGAAAATGCCCCTTTGTGCGCCGTCGTCGTCATCGACGTCATCGATCGACCGATCCATTCGTTTCTTCGTCGCGTACGGTATGTGAAAGTTGAATTCGTTGTTCAGAGTTCCCTCGAACGAACGCTGCACAGTGACGCGTGCAAGAAGAAGGAGACGAGTTTTCCGCTACGAAGATGCAGCTCGGCAGTTGGAAGAGAATGAAGGCTCGGGCACAACGATACCACAAAGTTTCCCTCGCGCCGGAACCGCGGGCAGTGGCTATCCCGAATCGTCGCGCGACCTATCGCCGTGGCGACCAGTGAAATGCGCGGACGAGGGGATGCAAAATTGAGAAAAACGGCGACTCGCTCGCGCGGCAGTATAAATATTATAGTAGATATATTAAAGCTTGATGTCCTACCACGGTTCGTTGTGATCGAAGAGAGGAGACACGGTGACGCGCAAGGACGCGAACGAGACGCGCGGAGCTCCGCCTCGACGCTTTGTATCGCGCGCATGTGCACCGCAATTGGCGTACAAGATATATCCAGGGTGATTATAATCCGAGTTTAGTCGATTCGTAATAAGAAACAAAAGGAAAATGTGCGTGAGAGAGAGTGAGAGAGAGAGAGAGAGAGAGAGAGATTTATATATATAATATGTATATATATGTATACTGCGCGTTAAGAGAGCTCAGTCTTTTACATATTTTTATTGCTTACGCAGGCAGACACAACTATTACAGTCGTACTACAGTATACGCCAAATCTTTACCAGATATAATATACATTATACATAAAATGTATGTGTGTGTGTTGACTTTATTAATCCGCTATAGTGGAGGGAGTCCACGATATTCTATATCTACACGTACACGAAAGACAGACGGAAACACGTGCACACACCCACACACACACATACACGCACCTACACACACACACACACACATATATATACATACATGTATATATGTCATGTTTTACGATATTTGTTATGGAAGATTACGATAGCATATATCGGCAGGAATATCCAAAATTGCGTCGTATAAGATTTTTCAGTCGCGACATAATATTATCTAAAATTAGTATACATACGTATATATATCAGGAATACATTGATATGTATTTTCTAGTAAATTAACACGCGCTATACGACCCACTCGGACTATGTACATTTGATGCTATTGCTTATGAAGAGTTTAAGCACATTGAGTATATTCACCCTATTGTTATGTATATTTTCTTTGATAACAGACGTAGACGTTTTTTTTAAAAATGCAAGATTTATGCATGGAGAAATCTTATAATATATATACATATTTAATATATTTAATTCATATGTTGTACGTTTCTTTTTCTTTTTTTTTTACTCTTTTTAGATCTCTTGGACCAAATGAATAAATTTTGCCTTGTCTAACGGTAAAGGTAACAGTACATGTATCTAAATTATTATTACGAGTACCCAGGTGTGTCTTCTTATCCTCTCTATTGTTTCCAACAAAGTACTTGGAATGACGGCTTATTCTCGCGTTAGCTCTCACGGCACTGGAATTTACCATCTAAATATTTGCCTTAGACGTCGTTAAAGATTTATAATTCTCCCGTTTATACGATTATCGCGGAGAAATCGAATTGTCACTTGAAGCTACCATCGAACTCGCCTCGATCCCTAGAATTTTGAACATTCTTCGATTTTAATTCTGACATTTTCTTTCCATATTCCGATTGGCAGTTTACGTCTTTTCTCGATTAACTCCCGAATCCGAATGCGGGCGCTTTCACCTTGAAAGGAAAACTCGAGCCTTCTCTTACGAATTCTTTGTTGTCTACAGAATCGTAAGCAAAGTATTGTTGCCGAATGTAAGATCGCGTCATGTAACGTTGTGGCGGTCATCACAGTTGACAGTTTGACAAAGGGAATAAGAAAGAGAAACATGCACCCGCCTAAATGAAGAATAGAACTGAAATGTAAGAATTGTTTTTGAAAGATATCGACCGAACCCGAACACATGTCCAAAATGTGTCTGTAAAAGAGTCGAGAAGCTTCGACAGCGGTCCAGAGTTCGCAAAACGAATAGCCACACGGCACTCGCCATCGGGACGGAACGCAGCTGCGCTTCCGCGAATCTCAGTCTAAGTGTACAGTGTTTAAGTCTAGTACAAGTGTTCTTAACTCAAAGTGTTCTCATTTAAACACTCGCGCTCCAGTCTCCGTTCCTCGTTCCACAAGACCGCGCTCCGGTTTCCCGGCGCGGCAAAGGGCCCGGCATTAATACGGACAATAGCCAATACTTTTTATTTTCTTAATTACTGAGAACGTGGCGTGAGCGTTGCGTAGGAAAAAGAGACGTGCCCAGTTCCTTTCTTCTTAGGCAGAAAAAAATCGACGTCTTAAATATGAGATTCGTTCGTTTCTGCTTAAGTCTCGTCGGGGCGATGTTGGCGATACAAGAAATTCAAGGATATCCGTACCAGCAGCCATTCTGGAATTTGCCGTACAACAGCCAGCTAAGGCCGATGAAGCCGGCGAGCAACGCGACGCAATTCCCGTGGTACTATTTTCACCTGTGGTATCCGGAGCGTTTTCTGAACGTGTCGATCTATAACGTGCGGCCGTACGCTTCTTCTCCTCGGCTTTGGAAGGACAATAGACCAACCGGCAACGACCAATGGATAAATTCGAGTAACGAGCTGCCGAGAACGATTAATTTTCAACCCGTACTGATGATCGTATTTCCAACAATGCCTCAACAAACGACGACCCAGCGCGAACGAGGAACTTCGCCACGGAACGAGGAAGAAGCACCCATCGAGAAGAGCGAAGAGTCGTCTGCGGATCGTGGTGTTTCCTCGACAGTCGAGTACCCGACAGTGTTTCTCGAAACGACTACTCGGCCAGAAGAAGAATTTCCGACGAGCGAGCCGATCGAACTGGACCGCGAATCGGTTTCCACCGTCTGTCAAGGAAATTGCAAAGACGCTGGCGAGGACGATCTTTCGAGACTAACTGAGGAAGCTCTGCGGAACGAAAAGTTATTACGTTCCGACGAATGGATCAGTGGGCAGAATGCCACGAAACACGGAGGGCGCGAAAGCGAGCAGCGTGAGAAGGAAGATACACGGAGGAAATCGACGGTCGGACCGGCCGACCTCGAGCGTGGACCGCCCTGTCGAGAGAATTGCTCGGACAATTCCGGGAACGATATCTCGAGGGTCACCGATAAAACCGCGGGTAGCAGCGAGTCGTCGCGTCACGACGAGTGGATCGGGAAGCGGAACACCACGAAGATCTGGTCGCCCGAGGGGGACGACGTCGCTCAGGAGTCATGGGACCTGCACCCGGCTCCCATTTGCAGCAACTCGACGTTCTGCGTGCACGCGGCCCACTACCCGGAGGAGCTGGTGAACCGGGCGATCCGGCGGAACGACAGCTTACGGCTGCTTCAGAGCGTCGACCTGGTGTCTGAGGTCAACAGCAGGCGTCCGAGGTCAGCGAAGTTCGATGAGCTCAACGACTCGCCGTTCTGCAACTCGAACACGCAGGTGATCTACCCGCGATCGGCGGAGACCGCGACGCTGCGCTGGCTCTTCATCGTCAATCAGCCCAACCTGCGGCAGAGCGTGCGCATCGAGACATGCGCTGGGGAGGGCAACGCGTGCGGCGAGCTGAACGAATACCTGCCGATCGGTTACAAGGCCAGCTGCAAGCAGAAATACATCTATCGGGAGCTCATGACGGTGGACAACGGCGTCGTGAAGAAGGACTCTTTCCGATTCCCGTCTAGCTGCTGCTGCCACAGGGAGTTTATCCACTGACCGGTCGAAGCTGGCGAACGAGAAACGAACGAGTCGGTCCCTTTTCACGCTTCTCACGTCCTAATTACGTTCATTAGCGATTCCAAAGTGACGTCGACGAAGATTTACTTTCGACATTCGGTAGTGTAGGATTTAACGTGATTATTTCGAGTGTGCTGTAGTTAGTTTTGTCCGATTTGAGAGACGTCCTGCTATCGCGGCGCAGGAATATCTTTATGTGGCGTCGTAATCTTCGATAAGAAATGTAAAAAGAATCGTCGGAGCCGTCACGAGACGAGGAGCGCCGTTCGAACGAGCACCTTTCGGAATGAGAAATGCGATGTTCTCGACAGCCCTGCGTTTTACTTCCGTTTCTCTCGCGTCGTCTCGCGGTACTTGCTGTACGACGATCGCTCCGAGTGATCTCTGACCCGCTTACTTTCCGATTGGGATAATCGCGTGGGGTAAATAGGACACCACGATGATCCTCTGACAAAATAAGACCAATCGTTACTCCAAGTTTATCCAACTATTAACGTTCGTCTAGCAGCTATCAAATGTACAAAGTGATATTGAAACGATTCGTTAATCAATTCTGTTCGTCGGCGACTCGTTTAACCGTAGATCTCAGCCGGTCCCGTTCGAATCCCGCGTCTCTCTCTCGTGATTTGTATTAAATTTTAGGGACTCGCGAAGTGCAGTCTTGCGAATTTCAAAGGATTGCGGCGATTTTTGCGCCGACGCGGCGAAACGCGACGAGGCTTCCGCGTTAGCGAAGAGTTTTTAGCGGCCCGGTCTGCGGAGGGTTTGCGCCCGAGCCAGCGGACGACGATGACCTCGTCTGCGAGCGAATTCTCGACGAGCGGGAGGGACGAGGTGGAGCGCGTTGAAGAATGAAATCGCGTCACGTTACCTATCGGCGCCGCGGAGCTGGACGGAGGCACCGTGGAAGTACCGTGTAACTCGAAATGCAAATAACGAAACTCCGACTCGGGCGATCCCTAAACAACGCGGGTCACGCGAGCGCGTACTTTTATTTCGAGTTCCGACACGAATGAGGTCTTACCTCGGCCGCGTGCAGTCGAAACGCCTCCGTCCAGTCCCGTCACGCTGAATTTATACACACACGATCTGACTTGTAGTGAGATGGAGAGCCGAAGGGGCGAAGCGAGACGAGCGTACGGCGCGAATGGGAGAGAGAAAGGAATGAGAGTGCGATTATCCGAATTGTACCGCCACTTCGTAGCTTAATTCCTTAGATAAGCGCGCCGCCGGGCTCTCGCGGGAGCGCGGCGTCTCTGCCGCCGCGGGTCGCCGTATCGTTAAGTCGACAGAAGCGGGAACGGGATGGGGGCACCGCTGCCCAAGTGGGACACGCTGGTTTTTTGTACGTTTCCTAAACGTTTTGTAAAACATTAGATATACATTTAAGAAACATATGTAAAACGAATACGAACCACCGTGTGCCGCTCGGGCGCGCGATTATTAAAACGGAGAGTTCAGGGTTTATTTTCTTACGGCGTGCAAGCGCATCTCCGTCGCGGTCGACTTGCGGTACCGCCGCTCATAAATATCCGTCTGTCCCGTTTACAGCCTGCACAATCTCCTCCTGCGCACATTCCAGACAGCTCCGTCGACGGGATTCTCGTACGGACCGATCGCGCTCACCCGCCGATTGGTCCGCGCGTCGAAAACCGAATTTCTTTCTGCCCCTTTACGTCTTCGGCCCTTCGGGAAACACGAGAGGAGGATAAACGGGTACTTGCGAGCGGTGTACCGCGGGCGGAAAGAGCCGACGGCGAGGGCCCGGCGTATCTCGGTCGTTGGGCAGCTCGAGTCGCGGTGAGGAACGTTGCTCTCCTTCCAGCGAACATGTAATGCAGTCCTAACAGCAATGATATCACTCCGTACTTCTGTAGGATGTACTGCTGCAATGTACATCCCAGATAGCTAGTTGACGGTGATCTGTCGTCATTTTGGCATCAAAATGCCCGCCAAGATGTCATTTTGCAGGCGTTTCGATATCTCTAAAATTTACCGAATGAAAGTACTGCCACGGAGTAAAATATTCACTCTGTTGGAGTGAACATTCACCCCGATAGGGTGAACGTTTCACTCCATGGCGGTATTTTCGCTCCAAGAACTTTAGAGAGACGTGAAAATGATGACAAATAACGCCAACTGACTATCCGGGATCTGTAATATCTTACACTTGGCAGTATCCTCCGAGTGGGTATTCTCAGACTCCACGTGTGCTGTTACACGAAACGTACTCGCGCGCGTTTTCCACCCCCCCGATCGCGCCGTCGTCAAACGTTGCCCCGGTCGACGTGGTACGACCTCGTGACACGCGAGGGGAACACGGCGGAGGCTACGTCTCACGTGCGTGAACTGTCAGAGCTGTCGGAACCGACCTCTGACAGACACCTCCCCCGCGCAGACTGCCATTAGTGTATCGAGTTAGGACGATAATTAGCGGGGGAACCGAGCCCGCTTGAATCCCTCCCTCGCGACCGCTGGCCCCGTTTGATCATCGGGATGTTAATACTGGACGGAGTATCGATTCCCGCGTTAAAAAGCGACCCCCTCGCGCATATCATTCGATGTATTGTTGCATCGTGGCGTTGGACGCGCGGGACGCAGTCACCCCAAGGACCCTCCCGTCCTGGAAACTCCCCGCGTATCCGTGACCGAGATACGGCCCGGTGAAAGAAGAAAAGAAAGCACAAAGCCGAGCGCATTCTATGACATATCATTTATTCTCGCGCAGTATGGCGTAGAGGAGAGAATTGCTGCGTTGATCATTTGTGTGGGGACCGATCAAGGGGACAACTGTGATAGCCGCGACCACAGCTTCGAGGTGGCAACGTTCCGCCCGATTGCGTTTGTTAATTAATATCGTTCGCGCGCACGATGACGGGCGACGTCTTCGCGGCGGGCACGGCGTATCGCGAGGAATTTCGCGCGGAGCGAAAAGACAAGCTCTTGTTTCGTCTACCGAAAGTTTATCGAGGGTCTCGCCACTTGCCGGCGTCACTTTCTGCCTTTCTCGTTTCGAACCAGAGCGCTTTCCCCCCTTCGAATCCTCTTTAATTCCTGTCGTTTGCGAGAGACATCGCGGAGAAGAATTGACGGACAATCGAATCAAATCTCTGATCCTCGTAATCTCGAATTCTAGTCCTCCTTTCCAAAAGAAAAGACGAAAAAGGACGGAGCGTCCGGACATGCGGGATAGAACGAAATTATGTACGTGTATGTACATTTTAGGTCCTAACGAATTTTAAATTAATTATCTCGGACTCCCGGGATTCCCCCGGCGAATCCCCGGGGGATTTTCTCTCGCGTATCCGTCGCAGGATCATTTGAAAATGTGTGACATGTCGTCGTCGCGTTGTATAATTGACGAGTATACGAGCTTTCGAATCGAGCAGCCCGACGATCTTTAATTCTCTATATATATACGCATATATATATATAAATATAAATTACTTATATAAAAATATTATATTTCTTGTATGAGCAATCGCGTCCGTGCCGCGGAAATAGACGAGGAGTAACTTTGCGTGAAAAGGTAAATTCAGAAGTCTTTATATCAGTTGCGCGCAAGACCGGTACAACTTTTGGCTCGCAGTTTTCTTTTCTGCGGCATGGACACGACTTTTTATGAGAATACGAGAGAAAGAGAGCAAGAGAGAGAGAGAGAGAGAGGGAGAGAATGAGAGAACGAACAAGACGTTGGACGACATGGAATATCGAGCCTGAGACTGTATAATAATTATAAATAAATGTACACGTAAGACCAAGAGAAGATAGCCGTCCCGATGCGTTTCCTTTAGACATAATATTGTTTCGAACATTTTGTCGATTTCTCAATATTCTAATAATGTCTAATAGCCCGCGGAGTCACTCTCTTCTCTTCCTATAGGATTTGAACGTAAATCTTGCGTTTATCAACGGGAACACTTTAATAAAAGTAAGTCGCAGTTAATCGAATCAACGTTTTATTAAAAATAATGATCTTACAAATGCTCCGAAATGGCACCAATACATCCTAGTACACAGTTTTGTATAACAGTGACACAGAGAGAGAGATATATATATATGTGTGTATTTTTTCTTGTGATAATTGCAGCACGGTGGTGCTTGTCGTGTAAAATAAAAAAAAAGTAATATTGAATAGCAAGAGAGACAAATATCGCTATAATCTCGTATTAATTTGGCGAAAAGCACTGAGGTTTCAATTGAGTCTCGGATGTTTGTATTGTGGGGAAATTTGCGACAAGCAACGGCAGTAATATGCGTACAATCTACACGATGTGTGCCACTTGTGCTACAACGGCTAATTCGCTGCGACTTTACAGAGACGGGATGAGCATTATCGATTGGTGAAGGTTAAGTTACGACGTGATTCTAACTAACAACATTAAAATCGAAACGAATCCTCAACTAAATTCGCGGACACGTTTCCGCTTTGTTAGCAAAACTCTTTGGCTCGCGCTTGTTCGCAGCGTTTGCCGTATTTCCGAGGGAAACTTTCGTCAGGACCAATTAATAAGATCTACATTTGAGCGTAGTGATTGTAAGCAATTTCGTGATACAAACAGGAAACCTATTTCCTGATTTAAACATGGTTTTCACGAATCAACCGGTCTTTAGCGGTTAATGTAGTCAACCGTAACATTTCTCGATGTAATTTTGTTTCCCTTAAATTGATTTCATTTTGGCATCAAGGAAATGGCGTGCGATGTATCATAAAATCTGGTAACGTCGCATCAGCGGTCGCGACTGTGCACCAAAAGGAACGAAAATAATCGATAAAATTAAGCTAAATCGTGGTGCAAAGTAACGTACGAGTATCCGCCATTTTACGACACATCAGTATCGCCAGCGAAAGTCTTCCCCGGAAAAGAACTCGCGCAAGAATGCGTTGCCTTCGCTGCGCCGTTTGCTCGCACGACTAGAATATATCTTCCCTCCGATGTGATGAGCCTAGCGTTTCTAAGGACAGAAGAAGCTACTGCACTCATTCACGAAGCATGCGCGTCGCGCCCGAGGGCGACGGCCTGTCTTCGACGTAGATCCCATTGTATTTGCCACCTCTGCCTGTACCAAGTACTGAATTCCACGTGACTGAAGTGCGTGATCTTGCACGCGCGTCTGCGAATCGAGGACATGCTCCTTCAGACGTACAAGCTGCTCGCGCTCAACTAGAGGAACGCCGCGGAATTTGCGCGGGACTGCAAATTGCCTAGCACATAGGTACAAGCCGCAAACTCTCATTCTAGACGTGGAGATATAGCTCAGCCCGACATACGCCGCATTGCTGGACTTCAGAACAGCGTCGTCCGCTCTGAACCGTCGCGCAGACACGTTTTCATGATGTTCGTTCTTCAAGTTGACCGTTGATTTTGTCTTGTCGGTGAATAACAATTGGCAGGGGTTTCTAGCAGAGTTTATTTTTTCTAGCAGAGCCTTCGCCGCATACGACGCTCGTGCGACGACTGCATCTGTTTCACCGAGAACATGCTTATGGACAGCCCGATGGTCGCGAGGAAGACCGCGGATGTCGCCGTGCCACGATCGAAGCTCCTAGCTCTGTATAAAGCTGGACTGGCTTGGACCTGGAAGCGAACACCGTTATCAGAAGCGCTTCGTTGAGCTGGGACGTCTCTTTTTATAGTCAATTCTTCTACGGAGAGAAGTTTCTTTCAAAATTTATCCTGAGAATCGTGTGGTCGTGGGACTACACGGCCTTTTTGAAGAACTTTACGAGAGTTTTTTTGAAAGTAAAATGTACACCAGGTATAATTACTAGTGAAATGTATGGTAAAATTTTGAAAAAACTCTTAAAATTTTTTTTAAAATTTTTTCTTCTCTCCGTACATGTATTTATACAGAACTCTTTTATATTTATATAAAAAGTTGTTCTATTATATAAAAAAATATTGCAATTCGTAGGAATAAAAGATATAAGAGGATATAAGAATAAAGGAATAAGGATATAAGACAGGGTGTTAGTGTCTAAATGATTTTAATTAAAAAATGTTTGGCAATAAACATCTTGTCTTGGCTCCTGCATCTTTTATTCCTTCGAATTGCGATCACACGTCAGAGCCTTATGAACTTCGTTGTTTAAAAAAATATTTCCCATCTAGTTAACATGTCTCTCTTGGTTACAATACGTCATAGCACATCTTTGTTATACAAAAATACAAACTGCGTCCCGAGACTTTTCGAGGAGGAAACTAACTGGTAACAAACAGGGAATTTTCGTCGTTTAAAACGTAAGCGGGGATGCGAGTTAAAGGTGCGCGTTAATTAAAGTCGATCACCGGGACCGAACTTAATGCGTCTTACCTGATGCAGTGTCAACCGGAAAGCGTATAGCGCGGCAGAGGTCGGATACATTTCGTTACGACAGCTTTCCTGTGTATCCTGAAAATAAAAAAGAATACAATTCGCGTGTCTTCCTCCTCGGGCAAATCGCTCGACGTAAAAACGGCTCGCGATTGATTTTTCGCCACACGATCTCCGAGATCGGCGTACCGAGTCGTCTCGTTCCCGACGGATGAGTCTCGGGGGGAAAAACGCGACGTACCTTTTCCTTGATGCGACACGCGAGAGGACAACAGACGCGCTTGGCCTCGGCTCGGCTGCGTAGCAGCAACTGTGAGCAACTGCGTCTCGAACGAGACGCGAATTACGACGGACGGGCGAGAAGTACAACGCGAAACGGCGGGGCCGCGAGATATCTATATAGGGGACAAAAATCCCGAAGTCTTGCGTAAAAGCAGCTCTCTTATCGCTCGCGATGAATTCGCAGCGTCGCAAAACGCGTCCGAGCGCGAGAGGAGACGCTCCTGCAGGTGAAAGACTTTGGATATGGCGCGCTCTATTTATATAGGGCGCAAAACGTTGCGACGAGATGTTTACATCAACAGCGTCGCGATTAATAGCTCAAATATATAAGAATAAATGAAGCTCTCTATTAAAGCCGTGCGTTTGGACTCGGTCCACGTTCCGGTCCTTTCAACGCGATCATATAGATCTCAATGATAGGTCATTGAGGCCCGGTATCACCGAGTGTCGCTTAACTTTAAGGCTGATGGCAGACACCTATCCGTAAGCGCTTAAGGACTTACGTTTTTCTCTGCCTTACCTTAAGGCCCGGTCTACAATGAGTCGTTAGTCGTTAGTCAGAAGTCGCAACTATATGTTGATCCTTTTCCTTTCTGGGTGGAAGAAAAAGGACCGACATAGTTCCGACTTCTGACTAACAACTCATTGTAGACCGGGCCTAAGTCTACGGCTACGTAAGTCCTTAAGCGCTTACGGATAGTTGTCTGCCATCAGCCTAATCTTAGTTTAATTCGCGTTCGTCTCTCTTTCTGGAGTAACAGTTGGAAAGAAACGAAGAACGAATTAAGCTAAGCTTCGAGTTAAGCGACGTTGGTGAAACCGGGCGTAAATCTTTTGCGATCCAAATTATCTCTCGCGAATGAAGGAGATTCAAGTATCTCGTCTCCGATCTCGTCTGAATGGCAAGTCCCAGTCTACAATAGAGATTTAAACCCTAAGCCTTAAGAAACGGACTAATCACAGTCGTGTATTCTACTCATACTTGACCGTGATTGGTCAATTTCTTAAAGCTTAGGGCTTAAAGAAATTGTAGACTGGGACTTGAAGGTATAAGACAGCCCGCGAAACGGTGAAAGAAGCTGCCGCGTCCAGACGTTGGGATTCGTAATTTACGTGCAAGTATCTCGTTAGCGTATAGGAGCTAATTTGCTAGATAAGCGACGTTCGGAGTCAATCGAATTGCGAGGGGATGTTCACCTAGACACAACAAGAAACGCTTCTTTGCGTCATCGGATATCAGAACTGACGAGTTACGCCACGAGGAAAATAATGCGGATCAATCGACCAACCCTGCTCTTTAACGTCGCGCGTCATCGAGTTATCGCGAGTGACACGAAGACGCGAAGCGAGAAACTCCGTTCGCGGCGGACGCCACCGATAAATGCATTCTGGCGCGTTTATTGCCCGCACAGTAGCGAAACGATGTCATGTGGCGCTCAGTAAAAAAAAAATGCGCGCGCGTGCACGCCGCTCTGATGTCATTCGTGTCACGATGTTAGAAAAAAATACCACCTAATGGCACAGTGATAAAACGTACACCATTTTGTGCTCGTGTCACTCTTTAAGGTTGCACCAACGTCGCTTAACTTTAACTTGAGCTGAATTCACTCTGTCTCTTTCTAAAGGAAACAGAAAGAGCCGAAAGGTGAACTAAGCTGAGCTTCAAGTTAAGGAGTTAGACCACCCTGACCGGGTCGAAATCAGTGTCATTTTCATTAATTTTCTTTAGAAATATAACAAAGTATATACAAAATTCAAAAGTAGGTATGTATTTAACATGTCTTTGAGGCAAAAAAAGTATTTTTTTGTTTACTTTTTATGTAAAATAGAGGCGGTAAAGCCGAGATACCAAATCCTTAGGAAGTAGAAAAACTGGTATCGCGTGCAGTTGGCTTTAATCTCAGCTGAATTCATTCTCTCTTTCCAGTTAGAAAGAGACGAAAGGCGAATTAAGCCAAGCTTAAAGCTAAGCGACCCTGGGGAAAACCCGGACCTCACATTGCGATGAAATCACGCATTTCTGTCCGGGTGACTATTGTCAGAAGCTGTCGCGATCGGACGAATCGTTTCTCTTGTTCGGCGCGAGACTGATCTTATCGTTGTTAAGGCAAGACCGGGAGGAAATTGCGAGATTCGGAAGATAACGGGCTCCCTCGCGAACAGTGTTATCAGTAATCAGCTGTCCATCACGCGTACATCGACCGCCGAAATCGCGAGGCCTAAATCGTACAGGAGCTCTATCGCTACAGCCTGCAATCACAAAAGCGATACGAGTATAGATATAAAAATGTACCAGAGAGTCCGATAGATACCTTCGAACGCGGCGAAAATAAACGGGAGTAAAGAGAAGAAAAAAATTTGATGGAGCAAAAAATAACTGGCCGCTTATATAATAGATTATATAATAACATTTTCATATAACAATCACATCATGTGTGATATAAACTTCAATAAATTATATAATAATCGATTACATTATTTTGGTTACAGATAAAGTGAAACTCCCGCGACGCAGGCTTGAATTAAATCGTCCAGCTTCCGTCCCGGCGAAGGTTAATCTCACCCGTTACGCAATAGTTTCCGCCTAAAATAAGATTTACGAATTATATCGCGTAACCGACGACAATCCGGCTCTCTCGTGCGCGGGATGCACGCGGAGCGGACGATAATTCGCGATGGTGGGCGCGAAGCTCAAACGAGGCTTACCGCCGTGTACACCTGGAATCTGGAGACCCTCCGCCGCAAACCGTACAACGCACCGCGAACTTGGCGCCGGGTCCTCGGCCGCGTATCCCCGAGGCCTCCGCGAGAGACTCACAAAAAAGTGTCATGAATGAAATGTCGATCCTCGACCTCCGAATCATCCAACGCGAGATCGGCGACGGAGGAGAGGCGGTCGAGTCTCGTCCCGGACTTGACGGACACCCCGTATGTCCCGAAGTTCGCCTAACCTCCAAACCCCCGTCGTTCTCGGTTCACCCGAGGATCCCGACGGCTCTCGGAGCGCAAGGTGTCCTCGGTCTGGCGGAGGGCATGTCGCAGGTCGGGCCTCGTAGGGCAACATAATCTATACGGCCGTGGGTCTCGCCGCGAGAGCCACGATACACCTGGCACCGCTCGACCGCCGTGTCCCTTGGCGAATCGCTCTCCGCCGCCAAGAGTCGTTCGTTGAATTCAGTGTCGGTTTTTCGGCACCGTTGTGGACGTCGTTCGACGATCTCGGGCTCCTCTCTCTCCTTCTCACCAGACCGAGAAACGCTCGTCCGGGAGAGTAGTTTTTTTCCGATTCGTTGCATAACGCGCGATTACGTGACGAAGGGCAACCGATAGTCGACGTTGTTTACATTTGTAGGCGCACAGCAGACGCGGCAGGTACCGCTGATCTTCCGATTCATAGCGAATCTGTACAGATCTTTGCTCGAGGTGGGAAAGTAACGATTGCGATAATTAGAGCTGAAACGGAGTTTTGTAAGTTTGCTTTAACTAAGGGCCCGGCTTCACCAACGTCGCTTAACTTTGAGCCTAGCTTCGTTCGTTCCGTCTCTTTCCAACTGTTACTCTGGGAAGACTGGAAGAGAGGAACATGAATTGAATCCTAAACTTAAAACGTTTGGATTCGAGACCGGGCCAAATAGGTTTTTATCTTGCGATATTACCCACTATTGTAAAAATCACGGGTTGTCATTGCGAGAACGTACGTACTTGGTCGCCGCGCGATATTAGTCGACGTGGCGCGAGAAAAAGAGGGAGTCGGGAGTAACCGTACTGCCGGCGAATTGTAATCGCGGACCACAGGAGCGTGGAGCGGCACGCGCTACTCACCTGCCCGGGTCGAAGTCAGTTGATAAAAAGAGACCGGAGAAAACGCGCCCCGTCGCTGGTAGCAAATGGTCGCGAGCGCGGAACGCGGACCGTAAACTATGCGCTATCTAGAGCGAGCGCGGGACGCATGCTTAGGGTGCTTTCACATGGAGCGTTAGTCCCAGTCTACAATAGATGATTTAAGCCCTAAGCTTTAAGAAATTGGCCAATCACGGTCAAGTATGAGAAGAATGCGCGACTGTGATTAGTCAATTTCTTAAGGCTTAGGGCTTAGTCCCAGTCTACAATAGAGATTTAAGCCCTAAGCCTTAAGAAATTGACTAATCACAGTCGCGCATTCTTCTCATACTTGACCGTGATTGGCCAATTTCTTAAAGCTTAGGGCTTAAATCATCTATTGTAGACTGGGACTTAAATCTCTATTGTAGA